TAACTCAGCAATTATTGCCTCTGTCCCATCATCAGCCAGTTAAAAGCTTTAGCTGCAGACAAAAAGTTAAACAATAGATGTTTCCTAAAAAGAAGGAACGTTTGAAATTAATGTTTTTGGAAACCATCTGATATTTCAAAATTACTCATGCAAGATTAATACAAGTTTTTCTAAATAAAGAGAATAGCCAAAAAGTATATTACCCGGTAAATGCATTCATTAGTGCTTAATTACAAGAAACTGCTATCAATTATTTAACATTGCTACAAATTGTTCAGAGAACAGATACATTTTTCTCCACTATGGATATTTTCGATTACTAACTTTATCTAATTGTACTTTCTCTCCTCCAACCTCCTGGGTCCTAATTTTCCTGGATTGTCTGTAATCTGTTATGATATTTGAAATTAGCTTTAAGTCATTTTGTTTTGAGAATCACTAAAATAGAGAATGACTTTATTTTCCCTTGTGTATATCCTCAGTTGAATGGTTGAAAGCTAGGTTTTGGCTCTCCCTTAGTTATTTATAACAGACCCTTGGGAAAGTTAGCACATTTTTTTTACTGAATAATCCACCCTTCCCTAGAATTTTGTAAGTTCTAATTAAAGCAGGAAAAAACATGAAATCATCCTGAAACAATGATGTTGTAAAGGCTTGTTTTAATGACACAAACAATACAGATCTTTGTTGAGATGTCCTGGTTTCCTTCAACCAGGATGGAAGGCTCATTCTGTGATAGACACTCACCTCAGGGAATATACCCCCATCCCACAGGCTCACCAGAATAGGCTAAAATCTTTTAATCCAACATGTTCTCAGTCCCAGTCAATTGGCTCTGTTCTATTTTGGCATTTTTGCTGTTGCTGAGTTTTGGGTGTGACCTTCATTATGAATTCCAGTCATTAAATTTTTTATTATGTAAGGCCATGGTGGTGCAGTGGTATAGAAAGTCAGCACCCACCCATCCCTCCTAGAGAATGGAATATTTGGGGGGATATTAAAAAGGCAGGATAGATTATTTCCCTTACAGGAGAAATGAGGAAAAATCTTAAGGGAGGCAGAAACCAACCCCAGTCTCCCTGCCCCAAGCAGAAACTGAGGAGGCCAGGAGTTAGAATTGAAGATTTGATAATCCATTCAGAAAGACTGGGTCAGATAGAAATTCCAGATAAGCAACACAACTAGGCAAGCCAAAGGTTGACAAGATTAGCTCAGACAAACACCTAGGATTTGCATTTCCCCTTTTGCCTATAACCATGATGGTGAACCTATGATGGTGCCACCAGAAGTGGCATGCAGAGCCACTTCTGCCGGTGTGCAAGAGATTACCCGGAAGAGCCCCACTGCACAAATGTGTATGCTGCCCACCTGACAGATGATTGTCGGGTATCTGGTGTGCATGCGTGGAGGGCGGGGGTACATGGAAAACACATGTGCATGCACAGAGACACGCAGGCCACAGGAGCTCAAAAAGGTTAGTTACCACTGGTCTATAAAGTCAGTCATGACCCCTACATGACTCCATAGGAATCAAGAAGGTATAAAAATCCCACCCACTCTCAACTCCATTTTGTCAGCTGTCCTAGAATTGCATGGTATGTGTGTGCAAGGTTTGTGTGTGTGTGTGTTGGTTCTGTTCACCAATAAACAGACTATCTTTCTTAAGCAGCCTCCATTTTATTCCCAGCTTGGAGCTGGACTTGGATTTTTCTTCCAACAGTGGTTAGAATCTAGTATTGCAGGCTAATTCTGCCGACTGCCAGCAGTTCAATCCTGACCAGCTCAAGGTTGACTCAGCCCTCCAGCCTTCCAAGGTCAGTAAAATGAGGATCCAGGTTGTTGGGGCCAAGAGGCTGACTCTGTAAACTGCTTAAGAATAGCACTAGCACTTAGACTTATATACCACTTTATAGTGCTTTACAGCCCTCTCTAAGCAGTTTACAGAGTCAGCATCTTGCCCCCAACAATCTGGATCCTCATTTTATCCACCTCAGAAGGATGGTAGGCTGAGTCAGCCTTGAGTCTGGTGGGATTTGATCTGCCAAATTGCCGGCAGCTGGCTGTCAGCAGAAGTAGTTTGCAATACTGCACTCTAACCACTTGTGCAGGATACAGGTCCTTGATGGAAGGCAGGTTGGTAGTAATTGTTTTTGTCTACTTCCCAGCTTCATACTGTGTCCTTCCAACCTGCCCGAAATAGTGACTGGGCACTTCTTAAATGGAGCAAAATCCTGGCTTCTTGAAATATCAAATGCTTCTGTAGAATCTGGTAATTATATCAAACTGCCTATATATCTAGTCTTGATGCATGTCAAATTTTCCTCACAGCAAGCTTTGTATGAGACAGGATTGATTGCCACTCTTTGCAGTAATTAAGTGAAATGTTTGAATTAAAATATGGCTTTTATTATACACTAATTGCACCTTCTGCATAAAATCAGTTAGTGGCTTCTCCTCCCTCATGGAATAAAACAATCCTTTTTTTTTTTAATTAAAATTGGTTGGAATGCTACTTTAATGTTTGTGTGTGTGTGTGTGTGTGTGTTTGCAAATAATCCATTTTCCCCTATGTTCAATTTTCCCAAGCTCTTAAAATAATATTTATGCTTAAGCATGAGGAAATAGGATTTAAAAATCAATGTAAAGGAGTAACTCTCATGAACTGCCACATGGTTATTAGAAGGTCTCATTTCTTTACAGTGAAGTAATGTCCAATTTCCTCAAAGCCAGCACTTCATCGGCACAGCTTCTAATATTAAATAGGGGCATGAAAATGTCCAGATCATTGACTCTGCTCAAACAATGTATTCGAATCATTGAATCAAATCAATTTGATTTGATTTAAATGATTGAATCGGCTCAATAAAATGTCAGAGGGTGTGCACAAAACGTCCACTCCTTTGAAGACACATGTTCAAGTTGAGGCATCCAGTTGTTGGTTCAGCTCAAATCTTCAAAATGAAGCTTTTCATACTCTGGAATTAAGATACAGGGATAGTTTTTTCCTCATACCTCTAGACATAGATGGGCCAAGATGGCGCCGACAATGGCTGCCTCGGTGAAATGCTCACTAATGGTTTCTTTATTCCTTATTATTATCTGCAATTCACTATGGATTTCATCCTCATGAGACCATCTGCTAAGAATTAGGTAATGTTTCCTTAAGGAACAGCTTTCTGATTCCCCACTCCCACCCATCTTTGCAAACGCAGACGAGATTCTAACCAGTTCCCCAGTGCTATGGATTACAACAAAGAAAGCAAAGAAGCGACCATGCCGGAAGAGGAGACGAGGTAAACGAGCGGGAATTTTAAACAGACTAAGGAATAGGGGAAAAAAAACTCCTCTCCCTTCAATCTTTCTGACTAATTTATGCTCACTGGCTAACAAGATGGTTGAAATTCATCTCTTAAATAGATGAAATTCTGATTTTCATAATTCAGCTGTTCTTTGTTTTACTGAAACCTGGCTTACTCCACAAATTCATGGGGACAACACCATATACATCCCAGGATTTCAGACATTTAGATCAGACAGAATTAAAGAAACATCAGGTAAAACAAAGGGTGGAGGATTATGTGTACATATCAACAACAGCTGGTCTCAGGATATAACTATAATATATAAGTTTTGTGATGAAAATATAGAGTCTTTACACATCAGCTGCAAGCCATTTTATTCTCCACTTGAGTTCTCCTCATTTCTCCTAATAGCTGTGTATGTTCCTCCACAAGCCTGTGTAAACAAGGCATTATGAACTTTTGCTGATCTAATTATGGAGGCTGAAGCCACACACCCAGGTTCCCTTCCCATCATTTTAGGAGATTTCAATCAAGCAAATTTAAGAAAAGAGCTCCCAAAATATTTCCAGCATGTAAATTGTCCCACCAGAGGCAAAAATACTTTAGACCACTGCTACACAACAGTAAAAGATGCTTATAGGCCTTTACCACGAGCAGCTGTGGGACACTCTGACCACTGCATGATTTACCTTGTACCTGCCTACCGACAAAGACTTAAAATCATTAAACCAACAATTAAATCAGTGAAGACTTGGTCAGATGAGGTAAAGCTGAAACTCCAGGCCTGCCTTGATTGCACTGATTGGAATGTTTTTGAAGATACCTCTGCAGACCTAGATGAGCTCACAAATACTGTAACATCATGTGTTAGCTTCTGCAAAGACTTATGTGTACCAACAAGGAACCTGCAAATGTATAGTAACAATAAACCTTGGTTCACAGCTAAACTTAAGCAGCTACGTCGTTCCAAAGAGGAAACCTACAAAAAAGGCAACAGAATGCTATACAACCAGGCCAGAAACATATTAACAAGAGAGATCAGAGCAGCAAAAAGAAGCAACTCTGAAAAGTTAAAGAATCAAATCTCAAGAAATGAACCAGCAAACATGTGGAAAACTCTTAAAAACATCACTGGCTACAGCAAACCTCCTTCCCAGGCAGAAGGAAATCAACAACTAGCAGAGGACTTGAATGTATTTTACTGCAGGTTTGAAAAGAAACTACAGCCACCTATCTCTACAACCCACATCTCAAACACACCAACTACAGCCAAGCCTCCTACAACTGGCCCCAATCCATTGAGCTCACAACCTCTGGTGATCACAGAAAAAGAAGTGCAAGATCTATTACACAGACAGAAACCAGGAAAAGCACCAGGGCCAAACAAGATAACTCCTTCTTGCTTAAAAGTCTGTGCTGACCAATTGGCCCCCATCTTCACCCGAATCTTCAATTGATCACTAGAAATGTGCTATGTTCCTTCCTGCTTCAAACGTTCTACCATCATCCCAGTGCCAAAGAAGCCCTCCATCAAGAAACTGAATGACTACAGACCAGTTGCTCTAACATCTGTAGTTATGAAAATCTTGGAAAGGCTGGTGCTGTCCCACCTGAAAACCATCACGGATCCACTGTTAGATCCCATGCAGTTTGCATACCGAGCAAATAGATCAACAGATGATGCTGTTAACATGGCTTTGCACTACATCCTACAACACCTTGAATCTCCAAATACCTACACAAGGGTCCTCTTTGTAGACTTTAGTTCAGCATTCAATACCATCATTCCAGACACTCTTCTCAGTAAATTAAACCAACTAACGGTACCTGAACACATTTGTAAGTGGATCATAAGCTTCCTAACAGACAGGAAGCAGCAGGTGGAGCTGGGTGGAATTACATCGATACCTGTACAATCAGCACAGCCCCCCCTGCCCCAAGGCTGTGTGCTATCTCCACTTCTTTTCTCCCTATATACCAATGACTGCATCTCAAACAATCCATCTGTTAAAATACTGAAGTTTGCTGATGACACAACAGTGATTGGTCTCATTCGAGACAACGATGAATCTGCATACAGACAGGAGGTTATACAATTTGCCTCGTGGTGTGACCGGAACAATCTTGAACTGAACACACTCAAAACCGTAGAAATGGTGGTAGAATTAAGAAGAAACCCTCCCATGCTACCACCTCTTACAATACTAGACAACACAGTATCAACAGCAGAGATCTTCAAATTTCTAGGTTCTACTATATCACATGACCAAAAATGGACACCTAACATCAAAAACTTCATCAAAAAAGCACAACAAAGAATGTTCTTTCTGTGCCAACTCAGAAAGCTCAAACTGCCCAAGGAGCTGCTGATCCAGTTCTACAGAGGAATGATGGAGTCTATCATCTGTACCTCTATTACTGTCTGCTTTGGTTCTGCAACCCAACAGGACAGACACAGACTTCAGAGAGTAATTAGGACTGCAGAAAAAACTACCCACCTACCTTCAATTGAGGACCTGTATACTGCACAAGTCAAAAAGAGGGCTGTGAAAATATTTACAGCCCCTCACATCCCGGACATAAACTGTTTCAACTCTTTCCCTCAAAATGACGCTATAGAGCACTGCACATCAGAACAACTAGACACAAGAACAGTTTTTCCCTGAAAGCCATCACTCTGCTAAACAAATAATTCCCTCAACACTGTTCAACTACTTACAAAGTGTACACTACTATTACTGTTAATCTTCTCATCACTCCTTATCACCCATCCCCTCCCACTTGTGATTGTAGGACTGTAACTTTGTAGCTTGTATCCTTATGATTTATATTGACTGTTTCCTAGTATGATTTGATTGTTGATTGTACTCTATGACTATCATTAAGTGTTGTACATTATGATTCTTGATTCTTAACAAATGCACCTTTTCTTTATGTATACTGAGAGTATTTACACCAAAACAAATTCCTTGTGTGTCCAATCACACTTGGCCAATAAAGTATTCTCTTCTCTTCTCTTCTCTTCTCTTCTCTTCTCTTCTCTTCTCTT